CCAATTACTGAGAGAAGTGATGGATGTGTGCACACATCCCTTTGTGAATTCCAGCAAAGGCTAGATAGATGTTTTCCAGGGATGCTTTAATTGCCATCCCTATCTGACCAAGAGGTTGGATCTGAGACCCTAAATGGCCCTTCCAACTCAATGGCATCCAAAGTATTTCCGAATGTTGAAACATTCCTGCTTCAATTAGAAGGGAATGGGAGTGATCTGTCTTACTTAAATCTCATCTCTTCATTCTGACTACTCTATAGATGACCACTGACTAGGTCTACAATAAAAGCTCATATATGCTAACTCCACTCATGGTCACTTAGAAGTCCCAATAGCATGTAACAAGTGTGCCTGGAATTGCAAGATAGAAATTGGATCCTTGTTTTGTCTTGAACGCTTCATATGAAGAGAACCACCCTACTTCTTTTAATTCATCCAAAGTATAAATTTGGCTTTCTATTTTTTTCTAACGTCAGCATCGCTAGCTAATTCTTTCTGAGCAAGTTTCCTCAACTTGGTGACCTCCACATGCATATTCCCAACACATATGAAATTTATCACATGGAGTGGGGAACATTCCTCTATTTTTAATATATGAGAAATCTTTATGGTACTGAATTTAGATAGGTTTAGATACATCTATTCAGAGAGAGACAGAGAGAGAGAGAAATATAGAGATAAATATAAATACTTTTCATTGCCACAAGACATAATATTGTGACAAACTAGGCTGATTTATACATTAAATTAATGACATTAATATGTAAAGAGAAGTGGCCCTCATAGTTTCTTCCAAGCCACAGAATAATTACCATTTTTAAAATTCCATACAGTCATACTGGAAAGTATGCTTCTTTGAGGTTAAAAATACATACTCAGAGAATATGGCATTTTAAGGGACTGCAGAATTAAGCACTTGATAAATCTGTTTTAAAGCTCTTCCTATGGCTTTGCACTTTAAATCTCTCACAAAACTTAATCCTCAAGTATTTCATTTTACCATAGGACTGTTTGGTTCAAGGTAAATCTCAAATAAATTCAAAACTCTTGTAATGGTTCTCTTCTGGGTTCTATGCTGTAGATAGTCTTTGTAGCCAAAATCCCAAAACATGCTAAATTATAAAATGCAGGTTAATAAACCTCAATGAACTTACATGCTAACTATAAAACAAGCCATATAATGATATTTTGATTGTAAGACATTCACTTTTGAACTTAACCATGGTTTATTAACCCAGAACTGATTCATAAATTAATCCCACAGGTTGGATTCATACTACATATTAGGCTAAAATATAGTTTGATAATTTGTGATTCTGTGTTTGGTGATTTAACTAAACTATAATGTGGTTTAGTTAGCTATTGTTTTAAAAGCATGGTTGGGTATATAGTGTTAGTAAAGCAATTGGGATTGATAATACAAGTAATATTTTGGCAAAAGCAGCCTTGAAAACAGAATTGAACATCATATAAAACTGGTCCCAGCTGTGATGTAACAAGTCATTTTTTTAAAAAAGTTGGTTACTTGTGGCAGCAACAGACTACACAAAGAAATATAAATTTTTGCTGCATTTTTATTTATTTATATATCAAATTTGTCACTGCCCACCTTGAACGACTCTGGGCGGTTTTCAAAACAGTTAAAATCAACTAAAATTACAAAGTTACAATAATAAATAGAAAGTAAATAAACCCCCAAATAATTGGCAATTTAGGGAGCGCCACTGAGGCACTAGCCACCCCCAGGATTGGGTAAGGTTGTGATCACCCCACACAAGCTGGCAGAGCCAGGTTTTTAATTCTTTCTGGAAAGTCAGTAGGGTAGGGACCCGCCACACCTCTGGGGGGAGAACGTTCCAAAGGGTGGGGGCAACGGCAGAGAAGGCTCTCCTCCTGGGCCGCGCCAGCCGACATTCTCTTGCTGACGGGACCCGCAACATGACCTCTCTCCCTGACCAGGTGGGACAGGTTGATGTGACAGGGGTGAAACGGTCCCTTAGGTAACCTAGAAATCCTCTTGAATTGGGAGAGTTCTAGTGTTAAATCTGGAAAATCTAGAGCTCTTACCTTTTCGCAGCCTTGATTCTGTATGTTTTAGCATAAGGCAGGTTTATACAACAAGCTGGGTTAAAACATGGTTGGCTTATTTGGGACTGGGTGTGCTGTGCAAATCCAACCAGTGTTTTGATCCACTGAGCTACATAAACCCAGGCAGTTAATTTCTTGAACCTTCATTGACTGGGATTGTGAACAGGTATACAAAACCTCAGCAGTTAAAGGGTTTTCACAGAATATCCCAGACCTGGGAAAATCTCCCTTCTGCTTGAATTTCTTATTTAAAAGTATAATACAAAGGCTAATTCTTGAGCAGAAGAAAGGAAGCTCTTCTAATCTGTGCAAAAAAGAGGTTTTTGTTTTGTTTTCTGACTAGAAAGTAGAGCCAGACAGATATCAAAGTATTTTTTTTCTTTTTGATTAGCTAATGTGACTTTTTTAAAGTATGGACATTGGACAGAGATATCTGGAATGCAGTTTGATATGACCATTGCTTAATCTGAGTTCTATGTTATAAGATATTGTGCTAAGATGACATCAGCCCTCCAGCATCAGTATCTGTGAGCAATAACCATCATTTCCTCTTCCCGCAGGTTCTGGTTTTTCTCACTTCTTATCAGCTCAGTTTATTGGTCAACTAAAACATTTTGACCATTTTCTCCTTCTCACTTCATTGTATTTCATGATTGTGCAATTTACAGCACTGGATTTCAACATCAAAGAGCAACTAATTAAAGCAATCCAAGGTCTGATTTAAAAAAAACAACAATGGGAGAACACAAAAGTGCTTTGGTTAGCACTGAAAATGTAAACTAAACCCCAGGCAACCTCTTTGGAGCAAAAAATGTCAAAGATTGGGTGTCACTGGGAAGAAATATATATTCATGGCTATCTCTCTCTCCTTAAATTATATCATTTAATAATTTTCATTAAAGTTTTTTTCAAATAATAAAAGAGAAATCTACAATAAAAAATAAATACCTCTCTTTAAATTATAGAAGCCCAAAGAAATCCTCTTGACATAACTGAGTTGGGTTTTTTTTGGTATCCAGATGATTCTTGAAATGTATGCATTTTACATGTAATATATCCTGGTACTATCCACAGCACCACATGATTCAATAAATACAAAATGAACTAGGAAAGGTGTAGCCTGCCCTACCCATTTACTGCCCACATGTCACCTTTCCTTAACTGCTGAGAGTGTAAAAGGAACCAGACAATGTAACATATTTGTGCATTTCTCCTTTGTGGAAACACAGGCTTCATTAGAGTTGTCTTCCATAAAACTTGATCTGGATCTAAAATTCAAAAGTGGGGATGGGCAAACAACGTATGCATAGATACAAGATGTATACACACACACACACACACACACACACACACCTTGCCTGTTTTCAACAAATCTTTAAGAACTTTTTTTCTTCCTAGGACAGTTTGGGTGGGGGATGATGTGGAAATGTATGTTGTTCCTTCAGACTATTAGTGTTCTTATATGTTGCTTCTCTTAACTTTGTGAAGCCACCCAGAGTCATTTTGGAGTTGGGCGGCCTAGCAACTGGGCAGATAAACAACATTGCATAATACACCCATGATTAACCAAATCATGGTTTACACAAGCCAATCTTCTGGGTTTTCATGACATACCAATCCATGAGCTGACACACTAGGTTTATCAGGCTCCGCAGCCATTTTACACAAAAGGAACGTGAGCTGGGATGCAGTATTGTATTCAATTATACTCCCTTAATATTTGGGCATGAAGATCAACTCTGGAATAAAATAATCATTTGCCTATTTTCTCTGGCAAGTGTTTTGTAGTTCAACTCATACTTTATCAAGAATAGGCAGAAGGTAAATTATCTGGATGATTTGCAAACTTCCAAGATTTTTGATGCCCAATTATTAAAGCAGAAATGACTTTCAACTGTAAAGAAGAAACGCTTAAAGGAAAAAAAAAAAACGGAGTAGATTCAAAGAACTGATATGCCCTGCTCAGTTCAGGTATTCAAACCGAAGCATCCTCAAGTCTCTGCTTGAGCCTATCCCATGAAAAAGAACACAGCACCTACCTGGGGAACTGATGCCACTGACGAACACTTTAAAGTTAAATTGAAATGCCCCTTAACATATGGGAGGAAAACATTCTGGACTCCGAACACTTTATTTTGGTGTTTTGCATTAGCTCCACTTCAGCAGAACTTGGGGAGCTAGTTAAAAGGGTGAAGAACGATTCTTCGGCCTGAAGTCTTCCCATCCTTGTGACAAAAAAGTTAGGCACTCTGCCATTCCACAGATTCACCAGCCAGCAATGCCATAGGCCTGCTCTAGAGGGCATTCATACAAACCCGGCCCTACAGAAAACTAGGAGTACTTCTGCTCCTTTCTCCAGCCTCCCAAAACAAAGTTTAACATCTCAGGTTAGCATCTCCCACTTTTTATTTTGTATGCCCCCCCCCCCCATTGGTTTGCTCAGAGTCGCGGTGCCCTCGTTGCCCATCCTTTGCCACAGCACACCTCGGCTGAACAGAAAGGGAGCGA